TTCTATCTATCATTTTATAGCTTTTTCTTTCATTCTATCATTCTATCTTTCGTTCTATCCATCATTCCATCATTCTATCTTTCGTTCTATCCATCATTTCATCGTTGTATCTTAAGTTCTGTCTATTGTTCTATTGTTTTATCTTTCATTCTATTTATCGTTCTATCGTTTTTTTTCCTTCGTTCTATCATTTTATCTATCGTTCTCTAATTCTATTTTTCGTTCTATCTAGCTTTCTAATGTTATATCTGTCTTTCCTTCCAACCAATGTTTTATCTTTCCATCTATTGTTCTATCATTTTATATTCCATTCTATTTATTTTTCTCTCGTTCTCTTTCTCTCTATCTATCGCAAATACAAAAAGAAAATAATCAAAACATGGGAAACTCAAAGAGTTTTGGCCACAGATATGCTTGTAATACTAAAGTAATATTAAAATACCAATAGTAACTTTATCTTTATGATGTATATATACCTCTTACTCAGTTTTCACAATTCGATCTTACTGCAATTCATAACTTTTTGATTTGGTGGATAATTCGTATGAAATCGTATGATCTCATCTCATTCATACAATTTAGTATGATTTGCTTATCCCCCAATGACCGTTGGGTTTAGGGGTAGGGAAGGGAGCTCATACGAATTTGTACAAATTATTCACATAGCTGACATAACGTAAAATAGTTGCATTTCCTCGTGAGATCAGCATGTATATGGATTTTCACTATGTATATGGATTATTTGAGGTACAACCATATGATTATGATTGATTTGTTGCAGTTCATCTGATTGGAAGTTTCTCAAACTGAAAGTTCAACCAATAATTTGAAACACAGTAGTCAAATGCAGAAAAAAGTGGAAATTGATATTTATACATAGATCTTAATACCTCTCAATAATCAGGGTGTGGTTTGTGTATTGTAGCCATTTGCTGAGATAGCCCAGCTGACAGATGTGCAGGAGGGAACAATCGTGCGCTGTATCCAGAGGCTGGACGAGGTCCTGAAGGAAGTCCGACAGGCTGCTCGCATTGTGGGTGACTCTGTCCTGGGCAGTAAGATGGAAAGAGCCTCTCTGGCCATACGCAGAGACATTGTGTTCACCGCCTCGCTCTACACACACTGAAGCAGACAGACACAAACACACTGTTTGGAGTGGGGTATAATTATAGTGTACAGAACATGGACCTTCAGAACTGTACTTGAACTTCTGAGTGCATGTTTACACTGAGTGTGCACGTGCCTCATAACAGACCAAATTGTGACCTCAATATGAAATGGAGGTTGAGACCAGAAATGAACTGTAATTAAGTATACAGCAATAAAATGAGCTGAGTCTGGAACACTGGTTTCATCTGTGTTGTCAGTAGAAATTATAGAGCGCTTCTGTGATCAGTTTTAAAAGTAGATGAAGGTGGTGTTTTCTTGTGTGGCCGTGTGTGTGGTGTCATATGAACATTGTTGCTGTTAACAGAATCAGTTTTTTTACATCTCTCAGTACGCGTAATTTTAAATATTTCAAATGTATGCATTGTTACATTACGGAAATTACACAACTTTCTCCTTAAATCTTTTATCATTAATGCTGTTACCAATTCATAAGTCAGCACTATAACTAACCGTCATAGACTTTAGGATGAAATATCCCCAATATCATTTGTTTTCAACAAGTGATTAAACATTTTGTTCTTCTAATACAGAATATTTAGCATCTTTGTTTTTTTTTCAGAGTATACTTACTTACTTATTTAGGGTAACTTACTCCCAGGGCCATTTATAGCAAAGTTGATACCCACATAGCAAAATTTCTCTGGCCCAGCTCTGGCCCACACAATCAGGTTTTGCTTGGCCCACATGCCGCTGTGAATTACGGTAGATGACTGGACCAAATCTGGCTTCCAGACAAGGGCCAAACACAGACCATATCTGGGCCAAGTCTCAACCAAGTTAATAACTCATAGCTGGGCCTGAACTGGGCCAGAAAGGTTGGTGTGTCACGATTGCAATGAAATTAATAAACCTATAAAGCGTTGTGCTTTAGGCACACTATGGGCCTTGTTTTTTCTCAGTGACCTGATTGGTAGAATTGATTTATTTAATCAAAAATTATTTTTATGTATTTTAAATGTGGGTCAAGACTGGCCAAACTCACGTGGCCCACAATCAATTTTTAAAATCTGGGCCAAATACTACGTTTTACATCTGGCCCAAATCTTGTGTGCCGCATTATAGACGGTGCCACCTCTGCCAAACCCAGGCCATGGTTGGCCCACATGCTGTATGCCAGTGCCGGATGAATGCCTGATGTCCCAGCTTTATGCCAAATCTGGGCCAGAATTCTTTGCTACTAGGGTATTTAGCCGCACTAACAAATCCCCTCAAGTAGTTCTAATCCTCTCCATGTCCACCTTTGCTTGATTCTACCATCTTTGTTTTGGTTATCCACAGGGTCATCTTACTTCCAGATTAGATTTCATCACCTTCTTCAATTGACATAATTTTCTCCTGAGTACATGTCCAGCTTTTCGGATCCTTCTACACTTTATTTCACGTATGTCTGCGCTATTGTAGAGGTCCCTGATCTCTCTCTATTGTGTTACTTCTCCATTCTCATTTTTTGCAAGTATGCCTGTATATCTTTTTTTCTACTTTATTTTCAAACACTATACGCTTTTTCTTTTCTTTCTTTCTTAGTTTCCATGTCTCAGATCCATACAGTAATACTGGGCAGTTTATTGATTTGTACATTCTTAATTTTTGTTTTGTGTGACAAGGATTTTGATGAGAGCATTCTGTTGCATGCATACAGACATTTATTTGCTGAGTTTAACCTACTTTGTATCTCTGGTTTATCTGTATTCTGATTGGATACGATTACTCCAAGATATATTTTAATTCGCTGACTTGTTCAAACTAGTGTCCATCAATTTTTAACGCTCCTCTTCTTTGATTCTGGTTTTGTGTAAATTTTTGTACTTGGTGTTTGTCTCATTTGACCAATCTTTTCTCTCATCAAAAGTTTAGTTAGGGTGTTAAAATCTTCCAGATTTTCTGTGATTATCACTATATTATTGATGAAAGCTAGTGTATTTATTTTGTCACTGATTTTAACATCTCTGCTACTTTCTGAAGGGCTTTTTTATGGCAATGTTAAATAACTCCTGCCTGAGTTTACCCTAAAGGGCTCACAGTAATGTTTTTCAGAGTAAATAACAAACAAAAAATTATCTCTATATTAATCTCCTTTTAATGCACAATTTTTAATAGAGCCATTTGAAATTCATCTGAAAGAAATACCTGTTGTGATTGTAGCAGTTTATGCCAACTTTTTCATCAATTAAACCAGGGGTGTCAAACTCAATCCCTGGAGGGCCGAAGCCCTGCACAGTTTAGTTCCAACCCTGCTCCAACACACTTACCTGTAGGTTTTAAACAAGCCTGAAGGACTCAATTAGTTTGATCAGGTGTGTTTAATTAGGGTTGGAACTAAACTGTGCAGAGCTGCGGCCCTTTTGGAACCGAGTTTGACACCTGTGAATTAAACCAATAATTATTTTAAATTCTCTACATTTTAGAAAGATGAAATAATGAGTCATTGATTCTTAGCCACTGCATGTACTGTAATATGCTGTATTTTTCTGTCTAATCATATTTCTCCCATTCTCCATCACCAATCCAGACTTCATTCACCCCATTGGTAAGCTCCTAGACCATTTTGAGGGATGTAAACAATAACGATGGTCCTAACTTATTTCCTGTTTTACATTTTTTAACTTTCACAGCATCCGAGAATCCAAAAAGCTCCACATTTTGCTAAATAATGTTGTGATAGCTGTTTTATTGTCAAGTCATGACTGAATTGCCTCTTGTTATAGTTATGAAATAGTTTGACAACAAACTGGAAATGTGCATGGGTCAATGACATCGCAACATTCAAATGGTCTTTAGCAAAAAAAACAATTATTTGAATAGATGATGATTTCAGCTATAGCATCAGGTCTGTTTATAGTGTTGGAGGACGGACACCTCAGATTCTAGAGAACATTTGATTGGACAGAAAATCTGATGTGAAGCTGAATTGCAGCATGATGTCATCGGAATCAGTGATCACTGCTGGCTGAAGTGAGTGAATATGTTTTGAATGCATTTTAGAATTAACTATTAACTATTATTGTTTATTGCTAATGAGATTGAAGCTAGTTTTAATTTTAATTATGAAAGGCAAACCTCTTATTGTACTTTTTGTCTGATTTATTTTTTGTTGAGAAAAAAAGGTGGCGTGGTGGCTCAGTGATTAACACTGTCGCCTCGCAGCAAGAAGGTCGCTGGTTTGAGCCCCGGCTGGGTCATTTGGCATGTGGAGTTTGCATGTTCTCGTGTTGGTGTGGGTTCCATCCAGGTGCTCTGGTTTTCCGCACAGTCCAAATACATGCACAAAAGGTAAATTGAATAAGCTAAATTGGCCGTAGTGTTTGTGTGTGAGTGCAAGAGTGTATGGGTGCTCCCCAGTGCTGGAAGGACATCCGCTGTGTAAAACATACGCTGTGGTGACCCCTGATAAATAAAGGGAATAAGCCGAAGGAAAATGAATAAATAAGGAAAAAGTAAAAATTTCTGATGTTGTTTACCTTGTAGCTGGTGGGTTTGATTGATTGATTAATTAATTAATTATTTATATATATATATAGATATATATATATATATATATATATATATATATATATATATATATATATATATATATATATATATATATATATACACACACACACACACACACACACACACACACACACACAATAAAAAAAATATTTCCCAAACAAGCTAAGCCAAAAAAGTAAATGGGTGGGCACTAATTGTTGACATAGTGATTATTTATAATGTCTTTTAATTTGTATTTATTTATTTATGTACACGTTTATGTATTAACTCAACTGTACTATTGTTAAATTGTTTTACATGAGTGCGGCATGGATGCTGTCTCTTTAAGACGCACTGGCTAATTCAGTGTAACTAGATGCGTTCGTTGTAACCTGTTTTTCTGCTGCTGCTGCTGCTGATGTTGTGGATGTTGCAGTGTGACCGTGAAAAACCAGCACCAAACATCCAGTGGCTTTTAAACCCAGCTTACCCACAGCCTCTACACAGTGTACATCAGGATTACCATCTGAAGATGCGTTATAATTAGCCTGGAGAAATCATCAGCTTCGTCTGTTGCGGTCTGACACAAAGACGGACGCACTGCTTGGATTTATTACAGGAGAGACAAACTGAACATCACCGAAACGGATACATAAACACGATGTCGTCGGAAAAACACGGTAAAATGTATTTTATTTCGCAGTTGTTCACAGCTAATTGCGTTAAGCTGGACGAAAAAAATAAATCGAAGGTAATTCAAATAAAATTAGTGTGAATCTTATATTTTAAATAGCGATAAAATGTCCATTTATAAATGTTATGCTGTCAATGTTTTTGTTTGTTTCATTGTTCACCCGTTTTCCATGCTGAATAACGTTAGTCGTACATTTTAGACCGTGTGTCAATTCATGGTGAGTTTCCTACCTAGGCAACAAAGCCGCGAATTGCTGTAGCGTTAGTCCATTGTGCAAATTAATATCATATGCTGGTCGTTTGGGGAGTTTCATATGCGGCTTTTGAATCGACTTGGACTTAAAACGAGCTAATAATCCTCATAAATGCTGTCTGTGTAGGCATTTGTATAGTTTTTTTACACACAGCCTCTGTGCATCTTATTAGCTGCCGTATATGTCGTGTTGAATCATAAATTGTAAACGGATTTGTGAGAAATGAGGAAATGTGTAAGTCGTTTAAAAGGGTGTTGTGTGAGGTTGAAGAGCCTTATTCAGTCAGCAGGTCCCTTAGGTATGTGATTCACCGCGCTGTGCTGTGGAGGGCCCTAAAATCTCCAGCAAATCTAATGCGATATTGTTCATTACGCAGATATGGTTTGGATGAAGACGTTTCTTTATATCAATAATCCTTTTGTATTATCAGTAGTCTCTTCTACAATCTAATTAAGCTTATTAAATGAAAGCTGCACTTGTCTTTCACCACTTTATCAACCTGATAATCAACAAGAATCAAAGTATTTGTATGATTCATACTTGTTTGAAATCTTATTATTTTATTGTAAAACCTCTTCTGCTGGTTGTAAATAGCACTGAGGTTAGGTCAAGGTTATTTAAATGGGCTTTGGTAATTCTGCATTAAATATGTATACTTAAGTGTGTTTCCAACTCTTCCAACCAATTAAAAATAAATTGAAGTGCTTAAGTTCCCCCTTCCTGAACTGTCTATGCAGTGAAGGATTACATAATGATGTAGTCTCTTACAGTTACATACACTGAACTAAACTCTGTCATGTGACCTATAAACGTGTCTGAATCTCATTAAATGTTTACTGTAAATGAATTTTGCAGATTAAATACAAGTGATATTTTTTTTGTATATTTGCCTAAATTTAAATACATAAATAAATTTAAACATATTATTTTTATTATATGAATAATATACATTTTCTAACTTTTAATATACATAATTTGAGCTTATGGTAGTTGCTGTTGGTATATGCTGTTGTTGAAGTCAGTCTGCATTATTTCATAATTAACATTTTTTTAAATAACAATGTCTCGATGAAAAACTACATTACCTATAAATATGTACAATTATTTTAAAAAATCCACCAATTAGAGAGTCGCATCAAGCTAATTTCCCCAAAAGAGCTTGCTTGCCACTTCTGTGAAAAACCAAATGACATGATGTTTTTTTTTCTCCATATGAAGCAAGAACAAGACAGTGTTTAACAGATTTAATGGGGGAAATAACTAATGTAAATGACATAATCAAGTACTGCAAATTACAATATATTTTAAAATATGCATATCAATTCTAATTAAGAACTTAATAGACCCTTTTCGAATTTCTGGGTTTCTTGGTAGCGGAAGGCATCATGGTAGGGTAAACTAACTTAGAGCGCAGTGAATGGGAGAGTACAACAAATATTTTTTCCACAAAACTATTTGCTGAAATAATGAAAGAAAAACTTCACGGTGGTATTATCAAGACTTTTAGAAAAAGGAAAAAAATAGTCTGATGACAACAGCCAGAAGAGAGAACGATGTCAAATTTACTCTCAACCCCATAAACGTTGCATTAGAAACTCCTCACATAAGCGGTCAGTCGTTTTTTGTAATTTGAAAAAAAAAAAAAAGATTGTAAGACTGTAACGAACTAAAGAAGCCAGGAAGCATTTAACAGTTCAAACTCGTCTTTTACTGAACTTTGCCACGTTGCAGATAGAGTAATCCTTGTGTTCGCTGGAAAACCCACAATGTCACACACTCGAAATGAACATACCTGTCTCATCCAATCGGAAAACCCCTTCCTCCCTCTCCAGTGCGCACACTCGCTTTTTCCCAAAATCTTGTCTCTTACAACCCCACATTGCACATACAGATACACCCCAAAATAGAACACAGGAACTGTCTTAAACACATGCCACAGTACATTCATAAATGCATATAAATGTTCATACTTAATTAATTAATTATATAAAATAATAAAAACATTAAAGGATTTAGATTATGATGACCATAAACATGTCATAACAGTACTTTAAAAAGGGTCAATCTTTGAAAATGTGTACAATTTTACAATTAATACAAAATGTCTTACAATGTAGATACCACAGAAATAGTGTATTTAGACTATAACTCAAAAAGATATTGGGATATTGTTTAGGGCTGGTTGATTAATTGAAGGTGGATTGTCATACGCATTTGTCAGTAAACCTCAAGCATGTGCTTTCAGATGGAGCAGCTTTTACTACACAGAGTTTTAGTTCACTAATAAGCTGCGCAATATCACATTCAAGACTGAAACCGATTTAATACAACTATAATGACAATTGTTCTGTCATATTGACAGCTGTTTAAGTAAATACTCAATTCTGCAGTCATGTGATTATTAGTCTGCTGAATCATTTAATGTTCTGTAGTTACATTTTCAGTTCATAATGCAATTCTTTTTTGAGGGTGTTTGGAGTTTCTGCATGAGAGCGCCTTCTAGCTTTGGACAAGACTTACTACTGATCACACAACTGTGCTTATCTGACAAAATTTCATTTCAATTAATCACCCATCCCTAATGACGTAAATGTTTAAGTAATAAGCATGTAAACATTGGGGGGAAAATAGCATTTTCCACATATATTTTAAGTGTCCATATTGAAATATAATGCTTCAAGAATCACTAAATACAGATTTTACTAACAGAGTTATCAATCTCTGTGTGAAAATAAAATATAAATAGCTGCCATCTTTCTGAAGTAATTTTTACCCTCCACCCACCGACCAGCTCCCATAGTTCTCGACTCCACCCACAATAGTCACCACTACAAGCTGACCAATCAATCACAGATTCTGCACCCCTTGTTGTTGTTTTGTCATGACGTGTGTTAAAATAGTAGGGCATGCAACTGTGTGAAGGCGATAGCGGACTCTCCGCTTGCACTTGACGCTGAAGTATAAATTGCCCGTTACTTATACATCCATGACATTTTACAGTTTGGCTTCCTCATTCATATATTTCTTTCACACAATTAAAAATGTTAGAAATTGTACATTTGAGCTGGGGACCTCTGAGTTAACTGTTAAAATCACCTTCCATATAGAGAAAATAAATGGCCAATTCATTTTTTGGACTTCTTCTGAACTTGTGGACACAAATGTGGACAAATGCACTTTTTGCTGTCACTATTTATCCCTACCACGTGATTTCACCAAATATGTTGGCAGATTTTACATTTTTCAATGGGTAAAAAACCTTTAGCTATTTTGCAGATACATTAATCCAGTGGTTCTCAATCTTTTTTTCATCAAGTACCACCCGAGAAAAAAATTGTCTCACCAAGTACCACCAAAATGAGCAGTATTGAAATACTTAGCGTAATAGACCAAATTAAGCAACTGCAGCTCTGCACAGTTCAAAAACGTGGCAGATTAATTACTATTATTAAGAATATTTATTATTGTCAGCCACTTTAAACATTATAAATAGTCTGAACGTTAAGACTGTACTGTGCTTAAATGTAAAAAAACAAACAAACAAAAAAAAACTAAAAACGTCAACATTTAAATTAAAATGTGCTTTTAAAAGTTAAAAATGGCAAGTTACTGTTCTTACTGTGCTGTACTTAAATGTAAAGTATTAACATATAGTAGCCTATTCATTACACCTGGAAATGTTGCCTGGACCTCATAAATGTAGGCTATACATTGTCATAATCATATACAAATCGTTTTGATTCATTTTTAAATATATAGCATGTACATATGACGTATTTGAGTCCTCAGCGTACCAATAGAAGGAAGCTCACGTACCACTAGTGGTACACGAACCACAATTTGAGAATCACGGCTTTAATCCGAAGCAAATATGTGGCTCAAATTTATGTCGCATCACATTTTTATCTTGAAATAGTCAGTATTTAAAATTTTTTTGCTAATTTCACATGCAAATAAAGCAGCGTTTCTATCCAATGAGTCAAAGAGAACAAAATCGTCACTTCCTGATTAATCAACCATAAATATCAAATGTAAAAACAAAATTTGCTGCATGAATCTTTTCTTTATTTAATAAATTACTTGCATCTCAGAAGACAATGCTGACACACAATGAACATGTGATGGTGGCGATTGAAGGCATGAGACACGAAGCACAGACTCCCTTGACTATTCTGGAGGTAATTAACGTAATAATAACACTAATACTGAAACAGTTAAGCCAGGGGTGTCTAAACTCGGTCCTGGAGGGCCGGTGTCCTGGAGAGTTTAGCTTCAACCCTAATCAAACTCACCTGTACCAGCTAATCAAGCTCCTACTTGATATACTAGAAACTTCCTGGCAGGTCTGTTGAAGCAAGTTGTAGCTAAACCCTGCAGGGACACCGGCCCTCCAGGACTAAGTTTGGACAGCCCTGGGTTAAGCCATTCAGAATGACCGAAACAATTTTAGATGTTTTACAATGTGCTCAGCCTGCTGGTTTGTCCATTCCAACACATTTTTATCATCACATGATCTCTTATAACAAAATCATTTGACCTTTTTAAATGCGCATACTGAAATTTGTTCGGTGTTTCCATCATTGTTTATCCTAAGGAATAAAAAGTTTATCCAACTCAGTTATACACATGTTGTTTATAGCCATTTTCTAAATGTATGCGCATCTTGGCGTTTCCATTCACCCAATTTTTTATGCGCATATCCAAAATGTGCATAAAAATATGTGGATGGAAACATAGCTAATGTCTTCTGGGGTGTTTGATTGTGAATCTGTCTTGGTTCAGGACTGGAGGAAGCAGCAGGGCGACAGCCTATGTCTCAGCCCATGATGCAGATGGCTCCACCTCCATACCTGCCCACCCAGGACCCCAACATGCCCCCACATCCCCCTCCACCCGGCTGTGCCCCGCAGCCTAACTACCCTCCTCCGCCTCCTCCACCGGGGTCTGATGGATATCTGCAGGAAACACAATTCCACTCTGGGACGCTTGGACCCCAGGGAGCTCCGAATGGATACCCAGTGCAAACACATGGACCAGTGGGCACCGTCCCGCATCCTCCTGTGGGCTATTTACATCCAGGATACCCCCTACAACTGCAGCCCTGCACAGCCTATGTGCCCGTTTATCCTATAGGCACAGGGGTGAGTGAGGATTTGTGTCATTTTGTCGATCAGATCACAAGTGGACAGATGTAAATGGGTTTTAAATGTCTTGAGCTTGTCTACTTTGCTGTCATACCATGGCTGCAGCAGATCCAGTGATATTACACAGTGCTGTTACCTAGTTACCAGAAGCAGGCTATTTTCAAATGCTGAGTAATATCATTGCGCCTGCTGGAGCCATGGTAAGGCAGCAAAGTTCCCTGGTTATTACATTGGAATTAAAAAATTATTGACTGTTTTTTAATATTTTTAAATAAGATGCTAATGGTCTAATCCAATTCAATGATTTATGCTAAGCTAAGCTAAAAGTGCTCCCGTCAGGCCTGAATATGCGCGGAATAGATCCAAAACTGGTAAAACACTACTGTTAAACTCTAGGTGACTTGTAAAAGGAAGTGTTCTTTTAAAGAAACAGGAAAATGGTGATCGAAAGCGGTCAATTTTAGTCACGAACTGATTTTAAAAATGGGTATAAATATCTCTGTCTCATCTACATGTGATCTGAACAACTAAAAAGCATCCTAATACCATGTGCTAACAGGTACAGCATACAACAAGAAAGCAGAGCAGCCCAAGATATTACAGTACATTACAGTGAAATTTCTATGAACATTATGTGTTTCTGGGCATTTTAATAGCCATATCCAGAATCTTTATATAAATTATGCAGGTTTTTCTAATGTTCAAATAATTATGTGAGATGGGATTTAACTGCCTTACATCCCTGGAGGCCAAAAACCAGTGTGTGCAAGATGGAGATATACTTATAGATAAGACGGAGATATATCTTATAGATAAGAGGCATGATTTATTGTAACTTTTTATAACTCTTGACTGCCAATATTAGGAATTAATAATAAAAGAAAAAAAGTATTAATAAAACATGGACATTTTGCATCTGAAATTGCATTTTTAATAGTAAAATTATTTTAGAATAATTTTGCAATCCACTCATATGATATTACCACAGAAATATTGTGAAGGTTTATATAACTATGGGTCTTTGCTATGTTAAATGCATGCAGAACAAATAAACTTTCATTGCATTTTTTTTATTTTTTTTTATGTGAAATAACATGTAATTCACCCAAATATTTTAGCTGTGGCTATGATTTGGTCTAAATAAATGAAAATAATAATAATATTAATAATAATAATAAACCAAATTTAGTAATAAATATCTGATGATATTATTTTAATATTACAAAAGAATTCCACTTAAATAGTAAAGTTATAATACTAATAATTATTTATTTTTTCTTCACTTTTATGCATTTAACTGGGGGGGAAAACTTTAGTTCACAACAGTTTAAGTTATAAATCTTTATAATGATTTATAAAATAAAAAAATGGAGTTATCTGTTTTTGCAACAGAACTATCATTTGAATAAATCAGTCTTATATACAATATTATGCCATTATGGTCTAGATTTTATGCAGTAATTGTGCTATTTCAGCTCTTGTGCTTGTCATGCCCATGTCAATTTTATTTTTTTAGCCTTATTAAACTCAAACAAAGATTGACCAGTGTGCTGCACAATACAAATCACACACAAAAGACTAGCATCCTCTCCAAGAGATGGTCAAAACTTAAACTGATGCTTTTCATGATAAATTGAATGAAACAACAATGTTCAAGCGAAACAGAATGCAAAAATAAGAACATTAAATCAATAGTGCATGTATTAGCTTAATGCCAACTTAGCAGCTCAACATCGTATTTTAAATACTTCAACACAAAGCTGAAACACACAATATACTGTACATAATATTTAGTAAACACTAACCTTGTCCGGAGAGTGTTAAAACATTTAATAATAAACTTTTCACATATAATGAGTCATTTAAGATATCTTTCCATCTTCACTAAAGTAGCAATCTCAGTCTGCTCCGTATGCACGTCATTTTCAAAATACAATTTCCTCAATACAAAGCATTATATGAAGCATACAAGTTCAAAATAAAGACAACAAAATTGAGTAATATTCAATTATACCATGTTCCTTTTAAACATAAATTGTAAAATAGGTAGTTCTATTTATCTACCACTGGCTGGTTAATTTTGAACGCTGCATGATTTGCAAACTGTCTGTGAGAGCAGGGGTTTCATTCATAACTACGTAAGATCATTTGAAACCTTCCTAAAAGTGAACAAAATAAATTGAAATTTATTTACTAATGATTATGACACACACATATCACATGATTGTTAAAAGTGGATCAATTAAGTCAATATTTAAGTTAAATTTTAGTTTTTAGTTTACTTAAAGCTGTGCCCATTCTCCTGTCAAGTTTGCATGGGATGTGGTGTATTTACATTTCCAGCCCCATTTTGTGCGAAAGCCACATATCTAAATGAGAGCCCAGATCTTTTTCTTAACCACAAAATATTTCGATTATGTACCTTAATTTTGCACCAGTTGAAACGTTTTTTTTTTCTTGTTTGTGTCTGTTCTCAGGCGCAGCCTTACATGCCAAATGGTGCGCCTCATCCAGGTGTTGCCCCAGGCCAGATGGCCATGCATATGCCAAACGGCATTGCTCTGATGGAGTCCCGTCGTCCTCCTCATGATTACCTGCCCATCGCCGTCCTAACCACCGTCTGCTGCTTTTGGCCCACAGGAATAATCGCCATCATCAAAGCTGTGCAGGTCAGTGAGTCCAGACAGGGCTCTGGTAACATCTGGACTAAGATATCAATCATTTCTATTTCATCTTCCCGCAAGTATGATGCAACTAAATGAAGGGAACGTGTAATAATGTAACTCAGCATGCGTTCATGCATAGATTGAGAAATTAACTAGCTAGTTTTAACTTTTATTCTGAAATCGTAGTAACGTGGTCACACGTTTGTCATTTTAACAATGATGGTTTAGCAACAATGGACTGTATAAATAATTAGTTCAGTTCATTTAAAATACATTTTAATAATGTTAACATGTAAAAGTCTATGGTTTAGTCTTATTTTCTCTTTATTCTTATATGTAGTTCATGCAGACAGCATTTTGTCCTCAACAAATTTTTTAGAAATGCCATTTTATCTGTTCAGTTTAATAAGTTTTTTATCAAACTGCTTTAATGTTTTGGCCTTTATATTTAACATTTTATAGAACCATATATGATAACTTTATTTACATTGATTGAACACAAACACACACATCCACACACACACATAGTTGGGAAAATAATTATTGAACACGTCACCATTTTTCTCAGAAAACATATTTCTAAAGGTGTTGTTGAACTTGACATTTCACCGGATGTCGGTAACAACCGAAGAAATCCATGTATGCAAAGAAAAAAATATTAAATAGTTTACAAATTTAGTTATGTGTAATAAAATTAAATAAGACAGTATAGAACACATGAAGAAGGAGAGGTTTAGAAAAGCACTGAAAGCCCAGACAGCAGCTGAAATCTCTCAGTAGTTATTCAGCAATCCTCTGCCCTTCGTCATTGTAAATGAATATTAGCTGCTTCAGTCCAACATCTACGTTAGCAGGATGATGAAGATGAAACCAATGTTGACATTTCAGCAAGACAATGATCCAAAACAAAGCCAAGGAAACACTCAAATGCTTTCAGAATAAGAGAATTAAGCTGTAGAATGGCCCAGCCAATCACCTGACTTGAATCCAATAAAAACAACATGAAGATCTGATTTGATAGACGAGACTCACAGAACCATCAATTTTTTTACACTCTGTTGAAGTGTGTGAAAAAATCACACCTTTAAGTGACTTCATTCTTCATATGAGGCGTCTTTAAGCTGCCATAACCCAAAAAGCCTTTTATATGAATTATTAAATACATTTCAGTAGTTCAGTACTTTCTCATTGCACATTACTCATTTTTCAGAATTTATTTTGTTTGTTATGTTAGTATTGTTTTGGGTGTTTACCAAAGGTTAAGTTTATTTCCAGGAAAAAACGTAAAGTGTTCAAAACTTTTTTCTTCCACTGTATGTATAGTATACACATGTTGTATTTGCATGCGTATGAATGAAAGTCTATGAGGCAAAAATGCCGTGTGCCCAAAAATCCATGTGTTTATGCCTTTATTAAAATGTTCATGTGAATACTTACTTTCACTGTCTCATTTAGAACAACTCCTGGGATAAACAAGTTAGGCTGTATATCTGAACTATAAATAATAATAAGAAAAAGCTATATCCTTCTTTTATTTAGCTGCAATGGCTTTGAGATTTTGAGTGAGTGCTGCACCCAGAATTTGCATTCGATTCATCTTCTATAACAGTGGTTCTCAAACTTTTTTCGTCAAGTACCACCTCAGAAAACAACATTGTCTCTCCAAGTACCACCAAAATAAGCAGTTTTGAAATAGCAGCGTAGTAGGCCCAGTGAAGCAGCTACAGCTCTGTACAGTTCAAAAGCGAAGCAGATTCAATCCTATTATTATGAATATTATTGTAATCCAATTGAAACGATTAATGTAATCCACTTAAAACATAATAAATAGTTTGAACTTTAAAAAAAAAACTAAAAACGTCAACATTTAAATTCAAATTTGCTTTTAAAAGTAAAAAATGATAGGTTACTATTCTTAAAAAGTAAAAAAAAAAAAAAAAACTCTTGTGCCTAAACATATGAACATACTATTTTAACATATAGTAGCCTATTTATCAACACCTGGAAATATAAGCTAAATGTGATCATATTCATATATAAATAATTTTTGATACATTTTTAAATAAATGTAGCATGTACATATGACATATTTGATTTCTTAGCCTACCACTAAAAGGAAGCCCGCACACCAATAGTGGTACAAGTACCACAGTTTGAGAACCACTGCTCTATATCAAAAGCATCACATGCAGGTTCTTTCACACGTCCCATGTTCTTGTAGTCTTGAGTAGCGAAATTGAACTTTGCCGGTTGATGATGGTGTTTATTAAGAGCGTAAGATTGCTTAAGAATGCATATTGAGAAACAAAATTTTCTTAGGACACTTGAGAATTATATGACATTCTAAAAAGCTTACAGTAATATGACAATTTATTAAGTGTCAGCCACTAAAGAGGTCTTCATTTTTTTTAGGTTCGTACCGCCATTGCTCGAGGTGACATGGTTACAGCGGAGATTGCCTCACGTGAAGCACGTAACTTCTCCTTCATCAGTCTGGCTGTGGGAATCGCCTCTATTGTGCTCTGCACCATTCTCACCGTGGTGGTCATCATCGCCTCTCAGCACCATGACGACGACTGGGAGCCCTAGAGAGCCTCCCTTTCCTGCCCTCCAGACCCCGGGCCACCATTCCAGTCGGTATTCTGCTTTTTCTGTCACACAGCACAGTTCAGACGGCTCCAGCCACCACATCCTTATCTGCAGTTGAAAACACGCTTCAACAGCCATTTGCCAATGTATTAGTTTGAAGATAGATTGATGGTGTGGTAAACCCAAGGGTGGGAAACAACAATCTCCTGTGGTATAAGACTAACTCAGCATTATTCTACCCGAACACTCCCTGTTTCTCCTGAACAAAAGCCTATCTTAGATCAGTAGTGTAAAAGTATTAAAGACTGTGTTATCGTTTGCTATTGCATATTGCCAAAAATCTTGCTTTGTAAAAGAACACAAGTATTATAGGAAAATAATTTTAGTATCAATTGTGTTTTTTAATGTAAAATAACATTCCATTTATTATTTGTGCCATTGATCTGTTTAGAATTAGGAAAGTTGAGATATTTGTTTGTACAGTAGGTCGAATTGGCAAATTCAGTCTTTGAAAGTGTGGAGAATTTGTGTTTTCTATACAGTAAGTATTGAAAAGTGTCAAATAATCTATTGAAATATTCAAAAGACTAATGTGAGAATTGTAAAACTGCTACTGGGTGAAACAATTCCAATACATTTTAGATGGAATTTTGTATTTTAGTTTACCCAAATGAACTTCTATGGTGTAGTTCATAAAGCTATATATCAGTATTGTACACTTGTTGGTTTCTTTACTGAAACCATGCCGGAAATTTACTCTACGCAGTATGCAAACACAGATGCAAATGCTTAGACAATTGTGTCATTTTAGTCAAATATTTAATTTAGCTGAAAATGAAACTGGAAAGTAATTGAACTTGTTTGGATTTAGAAGAGATTTATGAACCAGACATTGTAAATTGATTGGCAATGTGCCATCCATCAATATTTTACACATCAATACATCAATATTTTATACAAAAAAAGTATATTCTGCTAGTCTGGCATAATCTTTGGTAAATAAACTTCATCAAATCTGTAAATTATTTTGACTTTCAATATATAGGCATTGTCCAAATCCCATTGTCTTGACACAGAATCGACACATTTACAACTTTAATATATCTTAACCATAATATGTTTGCAGTCACACAAGGCAGCTACACAATTACACTTAAATATTTTAAGCCATTTCATTGAATGTGGCGTTATTCGGGTAGCTAGCTAGTAGCTATACAAATCATGAAAGTTTAACTAAGGGTAAGTTTACATGATAACATTTGTAACCAAAACCTTCAACATTGATTTTGGAAACCTGAAAATGGAGTACAAAAGAGACAGTTATTGTCTCTACCTTAAAATATCAAATGAAGGATTTTGTAAATACAGTGATGTCATGTTTATTGCTCATGTTTACATGTTCAGTCTAAAGACATGCGTAAATACTTAATAAACAATGGCGCTAACTACTGGATTGTCATGAATAATAGGGATGTCCCGATCAGGTTTTTTGCCCTCAAATCCGAGTTATTTGATTTTGAGTATCTAGCGATACCAAAACCCGATCCGATACTTCTATATTACATAAAAAGGTAAAACAAAAGAGCCAAGAAACAGATCCAGGATGTTCCTTATTTTTACATTCAACAACTCTGTTAATAAACAGAGCACTTCTATGAGGTAGCTTGAACAATCAAGTAATAAAAAACATAAAGTCTTCACTTTTGTGCGTTAGTACAACAGTAAATATAAAGTAAACTGTAATATAAAAACAAAGAGCACCTCAACTTAAAATACCCAGCAGGCAATCTCACTTTTACATATCGCACAGTTTGCTATGGCAATGTTATTGTCATCAACTTTATAATACCTTCAGACCACACACATAATTAACCAATAGCATCTCTGCAACTAAGTGATGTCATGCCGCATATGTTGCTCTTTCAGTGTAAAGTCAAGAAAGAGGTCTAACTCTGTGCCACCGCATAACTATAGATGTGTTAAAAATAATGAGAATATATATCAAATAAAGTAAATGAATACGTATTTGAGTCCTGATCAGGAGGTAACGTCTGATTCCGATCAAGTCTGAAACAGCATGATAAGGCCTGATTTCCGATCACGTGATCAAATGTGGACATCCCTAATGAATAACGCAGCATTTTGGTAATTTGTGCAGATTTGTGAAAAGGGATTGTTTTGACATCTCATTTGATCATCTCATACATGCAAATGAAACGTTTACTTTTGTAGTCATTGTCATGTAAACCTACCCTGACTTTAAAGAACTGCACCCCTTGTGGCAACACAGAGAATGCAGCATGTATCGTTTTCGATGTTGCAATTCAGAGAAAATCGCTAAAAGCATCTACGTTCGTATACGTGAGTAGAGTTTATCTGAGGCATCCGTGTTCCCAAGTGTCTTGTTTGCCAACTGTTCTTGAATCAGCCCAGTTCAGAGATGTTGAAGGAATGTATTATAGGGCGGAGTTGTTTCATTACCGGCTTATTCGATGAGTGTTGTAATCTAGTGTATTATTTATTATTTAAACGCTAAATTATTCATTTGTGTAATAAACTGATAGTTCTATATTTATTGAAGTATGTAATCATAGGTCTAACTGTTGTGCTGAAGTAATTGGTTATCTTCCGAGATAACGTTCACAGATGATTGCTCAGCTGGCATATTTTGATGACGCATGTGGTAAAATGCACTTTTATGCTCAGTAAGCAAGTAGCTAGTTTGCCTCACTTCTTTGTAGATGAGAGTGTAACTTGCTTCAAGTTCTGACCTCATTGAAACTCCTCACATGCTGCTGTCGGTTCGCTGTAGTTTGTTAGGTAATCGCATTTAGCACAGTGGGTTGGCCAAAAAAAAAGAAACAAATGATCCAAGAGTGTTCTTGCATATAAGATATATATATAATACGCTGAAACATGAATGCAATGTTTTCAGTTTTATGACTCCAGTATGTGAATTAATCTCTTTCTGCTTTCAAATGCATCCGTTTGTGCCATTCTCTGACTGTATGATCTGCCAAAATCCTGTCATAAGGTTTTTCGAAAACAAAATCTGCATTCTGTTGAGCATAATAGGGGGAATTTTGCAAAATAAGGAAGTAATAATCTACATTACCTGAGTAAAGTCTTGTCGTCGATCCCAGTTGTAAGATCAACAAATAATAAGTTGACTTCTAGTTGATCATTTGGAAAAGTGGCAGAGGGTAGATCTTCTAAACTGCATCCCAATCACCATGAATACTTCAGAAGACTTATTGGAACCTGCATCTACTCATGATTCTGACAGAAATAAGTCAAGTTTGGTGAAGAAAAAAATCATAGATTGAGGTTACATTCATTATGAGGGCATGCACGAGATGAGCATCAACAGTCTGAGGTATCAAGACATTTATGCTGCCCATTACATTACAAACCACAGGAGAGGGCATATTCTTCAGCAGGATAGCGTTCCTTCTCATACTTCAGCCTCCACATCAAAGCTCCTAAAAGCAAAGAAGGTCAAGATGCTCCAGGATGGGCCAGCCCAGTCACCAGATATGAACATTATTGACAAAGTCGAATCCAAATAGTCTTGATGAACTCTGGGAGTCCTGCAAGAACGCTTTTTTTGGCATTCCAGATGACTTTATTAATAAGTTACTGGATGGATGCAGTCCTCCAAGCTCATGGGAGTCATACACAATATTAACTATTTTTCACTGCACCATGACTTTTTATTCTATAGTGCACATTATTTTTGTTAAGTGACACGTCTTATGTCTGAGCAAAGTCAGACCTTACTGTCCTATTGAAATCAATAGAAATTAAGGTCAGATTTTATTTTGGTAAAATAAGTGTTATCTAGAGGCGTTGCCTTTTACAGTGGTGTAGCGCAAAATGCGGAGGCCCCCCTGCAGGGATCACTGACGGGGCCCCCAGTTGGGGGGGGGTCACAAATTGAGGACCGGGGAAGGGAGGCGGGGTGGAGCGACAACGCAGGGAAGCCCTCACAAACTGAGGAGCGATCACAAACTGAGGAGCGGAAAAGGGGGCGGGGTGGAGCGACAACGCAGGGAAGCCTTCACAAACTGAGGAGGTATCACAAACCGAAAGCGGCGAGAGCGTCAAAGTAGCCAGAAATCATTCATTTTTAACGAGAACCGGCGGCGAGGAACAGCGCGGCGCGTCTTCTTCTGTGTGGGCATCGAGGAGAGTTGAAATGAAGTCAACTTTATGGTATGAGCTATGACGCGGTTCAGCGGCAACCAATCAGAATGAAGTAATCTACCGCTTGAGAGGAGTTCAGAGAACACAGACCTGTGAACTTTGGTTCCGACCACAGTTGTTCCCAAGAGTTTGATTATTGCGGTTGCCGGATTTTCAATTATTGAAAATCTCGACGACGTGGGGCCCCCTAATCACGTCCGCTACGCCACTGGCCTTTCATATAAGCCACTTCTGATATCAGATCAACCAGAAGTCAAGTTGTTCTTTGTTGCTCCTAAAACTTGGATAGGCAACAATACTTTTGTCAGGTAGTGTAGCATTGCATAATGAAGGCCACAATTAAGCTTTTAAGCTCCAAACTTGACCAAAAAAAACATAATTAGTGTATATAACTCAAATTTAGGAATAGGGAAAATTTATTTTAGTTTAGTTTAGCTTATACTGTAAAAAACATGTTTCGTTTGTTGTTCAGTTTTTTTTTTACTGTTTATTTACTGTTATGAATTGCATTTCTCTCTGCTCTGTTGACTTTTGGTGTTGAAAACTGGATTTGCTAAATTTACCCTGTTGTGTTCCATGGGGAAACCTTTACATTATCAAATGTAAAGTTAAAAGCAAAAACCATGACAGAATTGTCATTTATGTTGATTTCTCATTCATGTATAAAGCGTTTCTGCATTTCAGGCTTGTCAGTCGTTGCCGAGAGCAAATGTGTTTTATTGTTTCATTAAAATACGAGAAACAGAACATTCAATTCTGGATTTTGAATGTGTCCCATATTTAATTGGGGAAGATGGAAGAAAATCATCTTTTGCATCCATTTTGAGCTCCTACTTTGTCACGTTGCTCAATTTCAAGTGTTTCTTTTGCTTGTGTAAGCTGAACTGCGTCATATCGTTGTTTTCCCGCTCTCTTCAATCAGTTTCTAATATCTCTCTAATCTATTTTTGAACAAATGACTTGCAGCATATTGCGAGTGTATCTGCTGAACTGTGTTGAATGACTTCTGATGTGTATTGTTTATACCTGCTAGAGGTGTGATTGCACATGCTCGTGTTTATATGGGCTGCGTCTAAAAATACAGCCCTCGTTTTCTAACTAAGAGAGCATAGTTTCAATAGAAATCCTGTCTGTTAATAAGACAAGCTCGTCCGGTATGTTTTCTTTTGGTGTTTTATAGTTGTGCGAACACTGTACAGTTGATATTAAACTAGCTCTTGTTTATAATTATACCAGCAATATGCTTTTTCGCAGCGTTGTGATATAAAGCTTAGTGCTTTATTGTTATAAACACGGCCTCTGAGACATGATTGCCTATAGTTACTGCACACAGTTGCTTGTAAATGCGGCAGACGGTTTATTCAAAATAGCTGCAAGCTCCCTTGTGTTTGTGTGCTTCTAGAGGGTTATTCTTCAGTGAATCTCACCAAATCCTGTTGAAAACACGTCCTGGTCATATTTCGCTTCAAATCTGCAGAAATATGGAGATATTTTTCAGTATTATTGTTATTTTTGCTTTACTTTCATTGCAGCAAACATTACCTTGACGCGAATCTAATAAGAACTGTGCTGAAAATAAACAAACATCCTAAAAATACTCTGAATTTTCGCCCAAATATTAGCTTTATTGTTTAAAGAAAGAGCTTTTTATCTTCATATTTCATGAACTGTGATCCAGACGTGTTTTTATTTGTGTGTGTGTGTGTGAGATTTGCCCTTTTAATGAGCCCAAGCATTGGTTTGCTGTGTATGAATCCAGTGATTTGAATTAAAGAGGAATACCTGGTTCTGCAAGAATCGATTGTGTTGTGTTTTCTCTCTCTTTCTCTCGTGTTTGGCCTTTCTCTTTGTCTCAGAGCTGCTATTTATAGTTGCCCTGTTTTTTTTCCCCCCTCTCCATCTCTGAGTCTTTTTCCCTTGTGTCACTTGGGCTGCTGTATAACTCCACATCACGTAACTGATAAGCTGATATGAGGGCAGCAGCGCCTCATAAAATACTCTCATTTACATATTGTATCCATTAAGTGGTGTACAATAATGGCCCGGGGCGGCAGCTCTTCTCAATCTGTGGGGGCATCTGTCGCTCTGTGGATCAAAGTCAATATGATGCTCCGCTATCACAGGCTATCAGAAAGCATTAGCATAACTGTGCCGGGCTGCACAGCATAGAAAAGTAGAATGGAAATTATTATAGATAGATGTAATAGGAATGAAAGTGGAAGAGAAGAATCAGGCAAGTGCTGAATGACAATGCAACCAATTTATATTTTACCTCATTTTAGCTGTATTTTATGCAGCAATTGCTTTTGAGGCAGACATCTGGGATTAATACTGACACCTAGTTGTGTGGATGTA